TCATGGTGACGCTTACTAAAATGCATGACACAGTATTTTTTTTGGCTAAGATGTAGCTGCCAAGTTTCGCTGCATTTATGAAGGTCACTATGAATCCTGGCTATATCTTCGTCCAGTTCTCCAGGCTTTTAGCTGCATACTATTTTGAGATCACTCGGATATAAGTACGATCTTCCAAATCTTATAGTTTAACATGTATCGTTTATGTTTATCAGAAACCAAAGTGGAGGAATACACTTCCTTGGATAACTTCACTGGTTATTAGTCTTGGAAGAAATGCCAGTTGGCACGACAGTAGTCCTGAAAGCGAGAACTAATCACAGTGACAGATAAGTCGTCTTTCACAGAGTAAATGAGAGCGAATCCCCAGTCACCAATCTTCATTCAGCAGAACATTAGGTTGATTAAATGTCTATTAAGTACCCTGATACTTCGACACGTCCCTGGGATTACTTTGATAAACGTTTGTAAACTAGTACTTCTGGCAAGACTGAAGGAAAATCAAGCCAAATTGTCGAAATTAGTATTTAAGTCTTCCAGTGAAAGGGACTTGATATCACAGAAACAACATAAAATGAAGGAGTCAGGATGTTTACTCAATGAAGACTGACAACTTTCAAACCGTATAGGAAAGCGAGAAGCCGAGTGAGAACTAAAAATAAGGCTAGATAATGACAAGAAGGACCGTATGAATATAAATTTTCAGGTGGTGAGGATTTGAGAGAGAATGATGCCGAAGTCACTTTTTACAGCAGGAAGTTGCTTAAACGGCCTTCAGGTCGTTCGATTGGGACAATCTGGAAATACTGGATAGGGGAGGACAAAGAACACTAGAGAAGTTTTAGAAGCTTGGAACTCAAGTCAATTAGGGATCGTCAAGCCAAGCTTAGCCAAAGAAACTCTTTCCCCGCTCCTCGCCAACGACGCAAACCTTCAAAATTATACGAAACTCCAGAGCCAAAGTCTTCTAGGAATCATCGATTATGTTTAACAACGTATTTTAAATTCAACAATAGAGTCCATGAACAAACAAAAGGAACTCAAAATGGGGTCACTAATATCAGAACTCATCGCAGAAGCGGTAATGCGGAGACTGGAAGCGTCAGTTTTACCAGTAATCAAACCAAAAATGTGGGTTCGCTACGTGGACGACACATTCGTCATTATCAAAAGGAACGAGCTGGAGAACACCTACAATTGGATCAACAACGTCCTCGATGACATCAAATTGACGATGGAAAAGGAATCAAACAACAGTCTATCATTCCTGGATGTACTAATCACCAGAACTAACACAGGCAATCTGTAAACTCAAGTATTTCGGAAGCCAACCCACACGGACGTAATTCTTAACAACGGTAGCAACAACCCAAGAACCCACAAAATCAACTGCATATAAACTTTGTTCAAGAGAGCGAAGACAAACTGCAGCACGTATGAAGCACTAAAAAACGTGGAAAAACATCTTTTGACCATATTCCAAAAGAACGGCTATCCACGCGACTTCTTCAAAAAACATCAACCGATGTCGTCAACGGAAGCGAACCAGTAAACGGATCACCCTACCATACATAAAAGACATATCGGAGCATACAGCATGGCTGCTGAAACCATTTGGAATAGGTGTGGCACACATACTAACAGAATCACTTCAATCAATCCTATATAGACCAAAGGACAAAATGACAAAGGGAGAAAAACCAAATATCATCCACAAAGTAAATTACTCAGACTGTGAAAAACACTACATAGGACAAAGTGGACGGGCTGTTCAGCTTCGTCTACGTGGACACCAATTAGCAGTCAAACGCCACGACAATTCTTCGCTTGTATCAATACACACCGACAATTATGGACATACATTCGATTGGGACAATCTGGAAATACTGGATAGGGGGAGGACAAAGAACGCTAGAGAAGTTTTAGAAGCTTGGAACTCAAGTCAATCAGGGATCATCAAACACATCTACATTGACCCAATTTATCACCGAATTAGAAAAATCATAGGTGACACAGGATCAAGAAACAGATAAAAAGGGGAATACAATCAAAACAAAGGTGCAAACAACGACAGGTTTAAAGTCAACAGCAACCAATGAAGAGGTTAATATAACAAGCTACAGGTCAAACGTGGAGAAATTAGCATACTTCACTTCCATCTGAAATTCGTGTTGATGATGTTGTTCAAAAGAACAATGAAAGTTTCATGAACGAAACATCCAGCCCAGAGAACGAAACACCACCACAATCATCCACCTGAGCTACAAATTTTCTCCAACATCTCGAAAAGCAAATACTCAATACACCATGCATTCGGCCTCCTTAGTAGGTTGGACGATAGAACTGGAACCTCCCACATTGCGGAGGGTAGGGAGGCATTCAGAAATCTATGAGGAAAAGTTGCTGCACCTCACATTCCTTGGACTACACTAAAGAGTCGAAACATTCTCCACCGTGGTTAACTAGGGAGGATCACACTCTTCTCTATTGGAGGAAAATGATGTGGGAGAAATTTATAACGTCTGGCACTGAGGAAACAAAATCACGATTCCGAAAATGCCGGAATATTTGTGCTGCGACACTCCATAAGTCTGGAAGATAAAATGTAAAAAGATTGTAAGGATTCTAAAGACCGCTCAAACGCTTTTATTTGTACGTAATAATAATGGTAATAATGTATCTATTCTCAAATAACACCATGTTACGAGGCGCGTGCCAGTTTGCAGTCTAGCAAAGGGACCAAGAGAAGAGGCGACAGTAGTAATTCATTATTGGTGGAAGGTGGTCATGGTAACGATTAGGTATTCTCAAACTAATTTAGCGAAGTATTATTAAACCACAGGTGTCTTCCCACTCGGTTCATCCAAACCCCTCCGCACACACTCCAGATACTATGACCGCTAAGGAACTCGATGTCCTTGGTCCGTCAGACAAGCTTAATTCAGGTAGATACACAGGACGCTAAGAAATGCATCCCAAGTTACTGAACCAACTGGTAAACTTAATTGCAAGACGCCCAAGCATAGGTTTAAATCTATCTGTAAATGATGGTACGTCTTGTCCTCAGAACAGGTACCAGGCATAAACTTGAGAACGATCGATCCTTAAAAACCCAACTAGCATGGCTGTGGAAATTTCGGAAAAGATTACTCGCAAGGAGCTGTTAAGTCCCTAGATAAAACTGGATGCTTTCTGAGAAGCAGCAGGGTTTGAGAACAGACTACTAATGTATCGCAACCTCACTAGTAGACCATGAAAGTTGGTATGTTCTTGATGACCAAAATCTACCTATAGAGGCGGTACCTCCATTGATTTTGAAAAAGCTTTTGATAAAACCCCTCACAACCGATGAATATCCAAGTTTGGTGAAGGCAGATAACAATTGTGTGGATGGCGGATCTCCCACTTGAGAGCCAACATAGTGTAACAGAGTTAAAATCACTATGTATGATGTTGCTCACTAGTTCTGTTTTCTTTTTATTGCAGTGTGATCAAACATAAACGCTTTGGAAGCCAAACAACAATGCCTGAGGGCACAGAACTTACAGGATGACTCATGAGACGTTAGTAAACAAGCGATTCCTTTTCTGCACTTAACCCGCGTTATTTAATTTTCAAACAGAAGCTCCGTGGCTATCAATGCGTGTTCTCTCTTGGTGTGAAGTGCTTGTCCAACCTTGTGTGTTGTGGTTTCAGATCTCCTACGTCCTTCAGCGACTACTGATTACACGTGTTACTATAGATTACGGGCCAACTCCAAGTTGTCTAACGCAGTACCTTCGGGTACATCTTTGGGTCCAGTCTCGTCCCTACTGCATCAGATGAATTTCCCAGTATCCTGTCTTCGTTTTTTTATATACGCCAATAATATTGTAGTGGAACTCCTCAACGAACGAAATGCGGCTGGTGAAAAATAAACACTTTTTATTTTACTCGTTTTGTTTAACTCTACTAAAAACACTGACTTGTGTGCAACGTTCTTCGTGTTGCTGCCATCCTTCATAACATGCTGTCCGCTGTAACGCCTACTTTCTCTAAATATATTGGTAACTTTGGATTTATTCCTAAAATTTGTGACTCGATGGTAATTAGTATTTAGTGGTGATTATAGTCAATCCCAACTCGGTTACCACTAAAATATCAAGATAGGGACAGTGGTAATAAATGAGGTAGATAGTCTCGAGCTCCAAAATAACCCACAGAAGTTATCTGAATGGCCCAGAATTCGGCAGTTGTTGATAAACACTTCTAAATGCACCGTGACGTATATTGTTTAACAAGTTACAGATAAATACACGATGATTAATACTGAGCTACCTGTCACGCAGACATAGAATGACCTTTCTTTCACCATCAGCTGAATCTTGAAAACAGCTGCTCAGTTACGTGAGACACCCACCAAACATTATGATCTGCGAGTGGAGCCTTAATTCATGTCAATGCTAAGACATATTTGACTTTGTATACAGTGATTGTTCGTCGTAAACTTTAGTATTGACTACAAGTAGTTTGTTCCTTTCTAAAAAAGACGGTGTGTTGTTAGAAATATTCAATGAACAGCAACTAAGTTGATTCCGTAAATTTCAAAGCTGCCGTATGAAGGGGGACTCTTTAAATAAAGCCTATTTCCCTTGTCACACAGAAGGACCGAGGGTGACTTGATCGCAGTTTCTAAAATACTTAATTTTCACCGAATCATCAACAAAGGGAACTGGTTACTCTGACACGTGACTGAAGCTCCATTTTTGGTTGCATCCAAGTGAAAGGTAGATCAATCGGGGATTAAAAATTGCTCGGACTAGCACGGGTCAACCGTCCTCCTTTCCAATATCCAATATCTTTTTCAAGAGCTAGTGTAAACCAATTGATTTCTTTACTCTCGATTCATTCCATGCTGAAGGCTGAAATGCTTTTTTTATTTCTTACTGTCTCACGTATTTAGGTTTATAAATGGATCTACTGTCCATAGTTGCGGAAGCCAACTTACGAAGAGCTTCTCTTTAGTGTACTGAATTTGAACTGTTTAACCATATATACTCGTCTGATTATTTGCTTTCAAGGTCACGATGCCGCACTCAACTCTCACTGAGTTTGACAAACACCAGGATGGTGATTTATTTCAGCAGAAAAAACATCTCTGGTTTGTGAAAAATCTTTAAAACCTTGATGCCTTATAGGTCAAGTCTCCTTGAGGAGGTTACTCATAAGGCTGCAGTAACATTGTCTCCCTCTAAAACTCTCGTTGTTTTGGGTGATGATGAGTGTGGGAAAACTACTCTAATAGCTCGACTGCAGGGCACAGAAGACCCTAAAAAAGGTTTTGGACTTGAATATACTCTTTTGGATATCAAGGATGAAGACAGAGATGGTATGTATCAGTTTATTTCCAATGCGCCTCTTAGATCAAACGAAACTGAATGTGTGGATTTTGGACGGCAACACAATTCACAGCCATCTTTTAAAATTTGCAATCAATGAAGAGTCGTTTGGAGATTGCTTCATAATGATATGTGTGAGCATGATGGAACCATGGAATATTATTAGCAGTCTAAATAAGTGGGTTGGTATCCTGAAAGAACATATTGATAATCTCAAAGTTCCAAATGAAAAGCTTCAGGAATACAAGAAGAATAGTCAGTTTTCCTTATTTTATAAGAATAAACATTTTGTCAGAACAGGCTGGCAATCTTTTTACCCAGTTAGCGGTTTTGTAAAGTTTTGAGCGAAATTAGAGTGGTTCAAAAGGTCTTCCCAATAACAGCTATTATCTTTAATCGATTTATTCAGTAGATATGGGATAATTATCAAGTGGTTACTTAAAAATAACTTCGTAGTTATATTACTATTAGTTCCTAAATGTACCGCAAGATTTTTTCTAACATGTCTCAGTGGTTCATGTTTTTTCATCATTGTTATGGTAGTTTTATGGTTCAGAAATTGTACTTTGTATGCCTAAACTACTACTGGGATACGCAAGCCCGATTGATAAAGCCTGCTGTTAGGGTAATGTCGATATAGACAGGGTATTCAGATTTGTTCTTACGTTGCACATTTCTCAACTCTGACCGTCACAGGTTTTTTATTTACTAAGTGTCGATTTAGGAAACTATTCACTTCACAAAGCTCTCTTTTAAGGACTACTCACTTTAGTAATATAAGATTAATCTAGAAATCTGTTTTTGTTTACTTATGCGTATAGGAAAATATTTAAGTGTTGGTTTTTATATCATTGAAACATTCGCTCAAAACAAGGACCTGGGAGGCTTTCAAAAGATTCGTATGTGTGTTCATCCAACCCTTATAACTTCTTTTTTTCGTCAATGGTTACAGAAATTTTTATTATTTAGTAATGTCTAAACAATTTCACTATCAACCTTATTTTTTCCGTACATAGTTTTGCGCCAGTTCTGTAATTATCTGGAACCTGATGTACTAGTGAACAATTCTCACGTCGCCCCCATATCTGTCATCCCACCTGGTAATATTCAATCTAATGGACAACCTGTAATCCCGAAAAAGTTATCGGGAATACACCCTGCAACAGCTGCTTTACTTTCGAGTACATTAAACTCGTTGTCCGAGACTGAGTCCGTGCCACTATCTGTAGTGGATACTGAACCTGTGTCCAATATCGAAAAAGCAAACATTTCTGGTGAAGCAAACACTGGTAAAAATGCTTTAAGTAACAATTTGGGGATTCCGATAGTTGTAGTGATGACTAAGGTACGTATGAAACTATACTAAATTGAACTTCTGTATTTCTGACGTTGATATAATAGTTTTTGAAAACATACAGTCAACAAAACAGTTATTTTAAGTTTACTGATCTTTGATTTATATTCAGCGTAGGATAGTTCAATTAATGTAACACGTGCTATCATCTTTGTATTTATTTTGGGTTATTCATTTGAATCCTTAAACTTTCACAAGATCAAATGGTCAGTAGATCAGTCAGTTAAGAATTATTCATAATTTGCCATCATATATTTCATTAAATGAATCTGTAGTGTGCCCGATGGCTGCGTGTTCTTAAGCTCGATTTATAAATCAGAAGATGAACTCCAAGTATCGTATACGCTTATTTGAGGCACACCACATAGCGAATTGGAGAAGGCTAAGAGCCAACTCTTTGGATTACAATGCAAGCGAATGAACGAAGCGACGTGGAGAAGGCTAGTGAGCCAACTCAAGGAGATAGAGTATGACTAAGAATATATAGTCAGATAAGAATAAGACAGACATATGACAAGCGAAATAGGTATGCACACACATGAATAAAAGCGACGAATGATTGACAAGGTCAAAAGCAAGCGATACAAATCATGTGAGTTCATGGGAATATTACGAGATTAACATTAAAGCGAAAAGGATGAGTAAGTGCGTAAGCGTAAGCAATGCTCAGTCGTATAAGCTCATACAAAGCAGATAATAAAAAATACCAATGGTACATATGAGTTGTTGCTGTACAAATGGCTTGGTTAAATAAATTAATCGAAAGGGCTTAACCAAGTTAGATGTAAGAGATCTGGAATATATGTGGAGGCACTACAAATCCCCTTATTCACTTTTTATGCAAGAGGCTGATTTTCAAGTTTTCTGCAACAAACTAGTTTATATTCTTATTCAGCCAATCATCTGTATAGCAGGCGATATATCCATTTGCTTGTAAAAGGGCTAGTATGCTGTAAAAAATTTCTTGTATTGGAATGCATCGATAATCCTTAATTTTAATGTTTACTATTTTATACTTGTAATTTTTCACGTACATAATTAACCGTTTTGTTTATTTTTAAAGGCTGATTCTATGGGAACTCTGGAAAAAGAAAATCAATTCACTGAGGAACACTTTGACTTCATTCAAATGCACGTTCGACGTTTCTGTTTGTCCTGTAAGTACTTTTGTTATTTAGTGTTGCTGATCTTGTAAGCCTACTGAAACTGATCTCGACTATTCACTGTTCATGTAGATATTCTAGTGTCCTTATTTATCATACTATATCTTTTTAAAATTTGGTTGAGGGGTCATGGGCTTTTTTAATGATTAGCTTTAAAATACTGTCGCCTGTTTACATTCTAATAATATGCTGTTTTATTACCTTTCTCAGTGTATACCTGCGAGAAGTACCGTTCATTATCTCAGCAAACAAACAAAAAGTTTGCTGTAATTATCACACGTGTTCCATTCCCAATTTTGCAGGTCTATGAAAATTAATTTTTGTTACTTATTAGTTTTGATATTGTTGCCAACTTAACTATTTCATAGTTTCTATCTGTATCTTTTTTTAATAAAACTGTCTTGTACCGTTTAAAATGATTATCACTTTTCATATTTATTTAGATGGAGCAGCACTGTTTTACGTGTCAGTGAAGGAGGATAAGAACTGTGATTTACTAAACCGTTATCTACAAAGTCGTATATATGGTTTTCCATTCAACCAAACTGCGTATGTTGTTGAAAGAGACTGCATTTTCGTGTAAGTCTTCGATTTGCCTAAAGGAGATAATTAGTTTTGTAGTCCAGCTGGATGGGACAACCCTAAGAAAATTGGAATTCTTGAAGAAAACCTTACTCAAGTTCAACCACATAGTCTCTATTCTGACGTAGTTCCTCCACCACAGTCGAAAAAAGCAGCGGTTCGTGAGCCGGAGTTATTCGCTCAAGATGATCAAGTGGGTTATATAACACAGTTGTGAATTAACAATTTTAAAACTTAGAAGCTGACTTATTGTGTTGAAGTTATATTCCTGTAAATCACTAGAACTATTAATATTTGTCCTCTAAAACTGCCATCAGATAATGATTCTAAACGTAAATTTAACCAAGAGTTATAAATAATGTTCGTTTGGTGTGTACTGAGCACGAAAACTAGTAGCTGTTATGCTAAGCCATGATCAATCCGTGGAGCTATAAACTATTGGAATGAACCTTCATGGCAGATGCGGACTATTTGGTTATAGTCTCCACGTGATAGCTATGGTCATCGGTTAAGGACTTAGGGTAACAGCGCTCAGGATCGGTTATAGTGGCTCAGATGCATCATATTGTATGCCTTAAACTTAATTATTCTTTCACAAATTCAACTGGAATTCATCGTTTCTTTGCAAGCCATATTCTCTAATGCTTAGTATTTTTCACTCTGATTATCAATACCATCATTTCGACTCATTCGCTGTTCATCCTGCTGATATAGCATGTTAACTTGTGCTGATGCGTGTTTTTCCAAAGCTCTGTCTGGATTGTAAATAACTAAGGTTTGAAATCAGTTACGAAAGCACATCTGTCAATGTCTCGAAAGTTGGACTATTCTTGAGATATCTGTACTGTTTAGTTACATGGGACTTCTTTGAATTTGTGGTTCATAGTATTCAGCTTCAAATCAGGAGTTATTGGTGTGAGTCATACCAAGGATACTAGCTGATTAGACTATACATATCAAATTTTGTGGAATTAATTTGAACTAATGATCCAGTGTAACCAAAATTTCATGTTGTAGTGTCCTATTTACTTCAACTTTACAAACTGTTATGATATATGGTAAGTAACCAAAATATTGAAAGTCGTAGATGGTTTATTTGGAGTTTGAATGTATGTGACAAAATGACTGCGCACTTTTCACTTGGGGTACTGAATTGTTTCCACAACGTATTGTGTCTAACGTTTATAAGTCTCTGTTACTTCCTGATCTATAGTCATTTCTTACTCGCCTCTCGGTCAGTATGCAAAGAGAGAATGCTCAAGCAAATATTTCAAATAATACAGTATCTGGCAATTCAGATTCTGTCATGGATCAACTTGCAGCAGCAACCACCTTAATGAATTCATCTTCTAATGTTGGAAGTAGACCAGTTTCCGGATCACCTCGTACACCTGGTTCTGCTAGTAGATCAAAGGTATTTAAAATGTTTATGTCATAGTATGTAATTTATTTGGGAAACAAAACTAATTAGTTTTTTCACTTTTCAGAATTACTTTTAGCTCCCGACGGATTATTTTTAAAATCTAATGATTACCTTTTTTGAAAGATCTACCATGTGATAACTAAATGTTTGATTATTGCTATAAATTTAGCCGATGCATACTTTTAGTGCAAATTTAGACCTAATTCCCATAAATAAAGAATTGTTCTATAGTTTATTAATGAGCATTGCTTCTCTATGTATGAAATTTGCTACTCTTTAGGAATTAATGTGACCCTACAGAAGTTTATGCAGTGTGAAAATAGCTCACTTGTTACCAATTGAATTGCTAACCCACGTAAATTGAAATCGGAAAATTAGCATGAATATGTTTGGGTCCACAGACAAATTATGAATGAAGATATAAAGCTTGGATTCTAAAAATTTCGCCGATTTGATGCTAAACCTTTTAATTATACTGACATTTTTAAAAATACTGTATTACGTTTTGCTTGTCCAATTGCTCAGCGTCACTACTGATTAATTAGTGTATGTTTAATTTTTAGTCATTGACTGTATGAAATTTTTGTTTAAATGTCTCATCAGTTCTCTTCTCTTAGTGGTATGACGATACTAATTATTTTATAACAAATCATAATTTATTTATAGAACTTGGTTCTACTCCTTTTGTTACCTGTAATAACTGTTTGTCGTGAACTATTAATAAACAATATTTCACCTACATGTATGCCTGACGTAGCTGCTACCTTGACGTGGTGGTCGGGCTTGCCTATCGTGATGACCCAACCGAGCTATATTGGCTGGAACATATGTTCCTGAAGGTTCTACCGTGCCAGACAGGTCGATTGGAGAACGATGAGACTAAAAGCAGCTACTCAAGGTCTGAGGGCGAAGTCGTACTGCTGACTGTAGAGGGGTGTGAGAGCATTAAGGTGTTTCCCTCGGACAATCAGCATCTGCAGCGATGCCGCCTTCTCACAAGGAAGGAAGAGGTTAGAGTATGTCAACCCTAAAAATGTCACACCTCACCTTGTTGCGCGGATTTCCATCTCCGGCGGTTAGGCCTTCTAAACAATAGCGAAGCTAACACTTAAAAACTGCCCATAAAAAGGCTGTGCGTGACTGGTCTGAAGCACTTGTCGCTCGGACTCTGCGACGACGTTCGCAGGTCGCTCAGACTAATGGTAACCTAATTTTCTTCCCAGATTCCCCAAGAAGTACTCTTCCACAGTGTGGGCAGACGGGAAGTGACATCTGCCACCATTAAATCCTTCTTACTTCTAATAACCCTCTTACCTCCATGACAAAACCTTCTCACATCCCTTTATCACCTGGCGCCGCTAACAAAAACGATTCGGGTACATGAAACGTTATTCCTGGCCTCCTGAAACCCCGTTCTAAACTACATGTTGAACCTTTCAATGTTCGAAACTTGTGTGAAACAGGACTACAGGCTACAGTAGCTAGGATTCTGGAATACTTGGCCATCGATGTGTGTTGCATCTCCAAAACGCACGTACAGGACCCTGGCAAAGTCAATAATTTGATTTCACCGTGTCCAGATAAAGAACCAACTTGGTTCTCGCTTCGTGTATCTGGAAGACCCGGCTGCTGCTTCTTGTGGCCTCGCTGGCGTAGGTATAATATTAAGTCCTAGGGCAGAACTAGCTCCCTTAGACTGGATCTCAGTAGACAGTCGCCTATATACAGTCCGACAAGACGGGACAGTAAGGACTCGTAAAGATGGGGAAACTCATTGTTGCCTCGCCGTTGTCTCTGCCTACGCTCCCACTAAGTGCAGTTCAAACGAGATAAAAGACGAGTTTTACAGAAACCTTACTAAGCTTCAAAAAGTTAAGCGTTCTGATATAATAACAATGGTTGGTGACTTCAGTGCTCAAGTAAGTAAATTAAGTGAAAAGGTAAGACACCTGAGTGGATCTTATGATCTCGTGGCTGACCGAACAGATAATGGTCACCGACTCTTAATGAAGTTGAAAAAGCTGTAGGAAATCTAAAACGAAAGAGAGCAGCGGGTCCTGATGGATTGACTCCTGAAATTTTTAAGGATGGTTGTCCAGTTTTAGCAGCTAGATTGACTGAGATCTTAGGTAGAATCTGTGAACTGGGCGCGATCCCATCCGACTGGTCTCAATCTCTGATTGTCCCAATTTTTGAGAAGAAACTGAGAAAGGTTTTGTACAGAAAGTGCGTTGATATCGAATCAGATGATAATATTTGTTTTAGCTACGTATTCTAAAATATCCCAAACTTGATTGTCACCAATTATATCACCGTCTAAATGCATACCTTAAACTCCCAAAATTAATTCATCTTAAATTAGATTAGAGGATTAGTAAATCTAATAACATCAAGTAATTTTTGTTGTTGACATAATCATAATTCGAATTCACACTTAGATAATAATGATTTAAATCGTATACTCTTTCAAAATGTCATTATACGCAATTTCATGTCTTTATCACACTACTTTTGTATCACTTAACTCAATAGTGGCTGTTTTGTTTTTGTTCACAAAATTGTCATGTTTAAGTACAGATCGATCAAATAATAGTGATGTGCATCATGATTAACGAAGTCCTAACAATCAATAAGAGAAGAAACGAAAATGTTAGTACAACTCTAATCAATAAATATACATTTAGACAATTCTCTTAGTTAAACGTGATTGTACAGATGATGGCGAAGGCAGGGCGGTAGACAGACCGTGTACCAATAAAAAGAGTCAGCGATTCTGATGGCATAGTATTAACTGCACTTTCTTCAATCTTGTATTCAATTGGTTTAATTTATGTGCTTCACAAAATAATATTGCATTGGTTACAACACAACAGCACATGAACTGAATTATGTATAGGTCATTAAAAAATGAATAGACTAGTAATTTATCGTGAAAAATGGTTAGCCGAAATAGCCTAATGTTACAAAACGACTGATAATCCCTTAGTCTTCAATCACGAAACTTTCACATTCCGGATTATAGATTAAGTTTTATTAGTTTAACACATGTGCGAAGTGTTTTTTTGCTTATTGTGCTATAGGTTGGTCATTGGTTACCAACAAGAAAAAAATTGGTGTATTGAGTGTGCCAACCCACTTTCTTATGCAACCCTGAATTAAAGTCATTACCTGTTTGTTCGAATCTGACCACATAAAAGTTAGTTTCGACCTCACGCTTTGGTTAGCCGAGGATTTAGCTTGTGAACGCATGGTTTGACTACTTATTATTTGATACCTATGATTTCCTGTAGTTCACATTCGGTATTAATGTTAAACGATTGTTTATTAGTGTTGGTAACGCGTCATTACTAATTTTTTCCCGAATCTATTTTTAATATTCCGGATTATTATAAGGATGGTCCTTAATTAATACCATTGATAAACTTCTATTTCTAAATGCTTGTTTTCAGCGTACTATAAAACTTTTTAGTCTGGATGATTCGAGATTTTTATTCACTAAAATCGCTCTAACTAACACTGAACCATAATTCCTGGTTCCTGTCCATCGAAACATAATCTACGGTTTTGTTCAGCGTCTGTTGTTGACAGCTAATAAACTCATTTAAGTCGGAAGGACTTCCTTACTTTTTCAATACCTACAGTTTGTGGCTAATGTAGTCTGGATAGAACGCTGTTTTTCAAGTTGGTAACAACAAACGATACACCAATGCCAAAGTTTGTCTTAGTAATTTCAAATGGATTAAACATTGAGTATAAGATTAATCACAAACTAGTGTTATAATTTATGATATCCCATTGAGTAGAAACGCGTTATGTTGGCACTTACATTTTATTTCATGCCTAACTTCCGTTTAATACTCAACTCTTTTGTCTAATTCTTAGCCTACTTCAGCTATTGGTGGAGCTAGTGGAACAACAAGTGGATCTGGACCGGGAGCTTCTGAAGGTGTATTAGCCAATTTTTTCAATAGTTTGCTTAGTAAACGCACACCTGTTGTTGGTGGAGGGGGCAGTACTGGTACACCTGCGTCACTAAGCTCACAAGGCTCTCTAGGTAATTACATTGGTTTTATTGAAATATTATTGATAACTTTTATTCATTTTTCCTGACTACCCTAAGCAACAATGCAAGCATGTTCGGGGTGTGGTTTTCCCCCTCGAAACGCAAAACGTTGCTTCAAGATTGGGTCGCATCGGCACCTGAACTAGTGATAGGGAGTGAAGTAGTCGAACGTGTCAACCGCTTCACTTATCTGGGGAGTCTCATCAGTGCTGATGGCCTGGTGACTGACGAAATCTCAGCGCGGATACAGACAGCTGCACTGGTTTTATCCAACCTGAGTCACCTATGGCACAGGTGAGATATATGTTTGCTAACCAAAGGCTGTAGTTCGGTCCGTCCTACTTTATGGCTATGAAACATGGCTGGTGACAGTAGATATTCGTAGGTTACTGGTTTTCGGTCATCGGTGTCTCCGAAGCATTGCTCGTATATCCTGGGACAGCTGAGTATGCAATGCTGTTTAAAGGAAACGGATGCTAGGTAAGGATGGCAGATCAATAGATGAAGTGGTGAAACTTCATCAGTTGAGGTGGATGGGACATTTGCTGCGTATGCCTAACCACCGACTGCCTCGTCGAGCTATGTTTTGCGATTTAGGGATAGCTTGGACGAAAGCCAGGGGCGGCCAGACCAAAACATTGCAGAAATCCATGAATTCACTGACAAGTGGACTGAGTCATGTCGGTAGGCGTCGACTATCTGGTTGGGGTCCGCGCGATGATAATAATCGTTGGTTAGAGACCCTGAGTGAAATGGCTCAAAACCGTTTGCAATGGCGCCGGTGCAGTTATTCTTTGTGTTTTCTCAAGTCCTAAACTTCAGTCAGTCAGTCAGTCAGCTGCAACGTGGAACTTCGTACGTATGTACATAAGTTCATGTTGCCATACGACATTAGCACAAAGACGCAGATGTCAAACCAAATCCCATAGTGATAAAGATAGAAGAGGTATTAATGGTAATGAAGAAGACTAGGGTTTGAAGATATTATTCAAGAAGTATATTTCGGTGAGATAAGGTTAGAAAGACAAAGGTAGAGGTGCTGGCTAATCCAGTAGATTAGGATTTGAGAGAGCACCTTGAATGGATGCACTTGCGCCATCGCAAACGATTTTGAGCCATGTCGTTCAAGGTCCCTAACCATTGGTGACTTTCGTCTCGCGGACCCCAACCAGGTAGTCTACATCTACCAACATGACTCAGTCCACTTGTCAGTGAATTCATGGGTTTCTGCAATGTTTTGGTCTGGCCGCCCCTGGCTTTCGTCCAAGCTATCCCTAAATCGCAAAACATAGCTCGACGAGGCAGTCGGTGGTTAGGCATACGCAGCAAATGTCCCATCCACCTCAACTGATGAAGTTTCACCACTTCATCTATTGATCTGCCATCCTTACCTAGTACTCGTTTTCTAACCACAGCATTGCTTATACGGTTGTCCCAGGATATACGAGCAATGCTCCGGAGACACCGATGATCGAATACTAGTAACCTACGAACATCTACTCTTAACGGCTATGTTTCGCATCCATATAGTAGGACGAAGCGAACTGCTGCGCAGTACACTCGTCCTTTGGTTAGCGAACGGATATCTCGCCTACGCCATAAATGGCGTAAATTGGCAAAAGCCAATCGAGCTTTCTATATCCGCGCTGAGATTTCGTCAGTCACCAGTCCATCAACACTGATGAGACTCCCCAGATAAGTGAAGCGGTAGGCTACTTCACTCCCTATCACAAGTTCAGGTACCGATGCAACCCAGTCTTGAAGCAACATTTTGCATTTCGGGGGAGGTGGGAGAAACCGCATCCCGAATATGCTTGCATTGTTGCTTATGGTAGTCAGAAGACTGCGTTTTGTCAGCGTCTTCACCGAATTGAAGTATGTCGTCGGCATGTTCTAGATCAGTAAGCAATTTTCCTGGTAGAAGGTCAACCCCTTAAAAATCTGACTAGTTTAATTTTAACTCTAAAAGGATGTCTACCGTAAAGTTAAACAAGAATGGAAAGAGTGGACAGCCCTGACGGACACCACTTGATGTAGAGAATTCAGGTGACAGTTCGCCATAAGCTCTCACTCGACCAGTAGTGTTCGAGTAGAGTGCTTGTATAAGTTTAATGTACTTCTTTGGTACACCTTTCAACGTCAGATACTGCCACAGAACCTCACGATCCACTGAGTCAAATGCCGCTTTTAGGTCCAGGAACACGACTATTGTCGGACGTCTAAATGTGTGTCTGTTTTCCAGGACCTGTCGTAGTGTGAAGATGTGGTTTATACAGCCACGTCCAGGTCTGAAACCAGCCTGGTTTTCTCGAGTCTGCTGTTCACGTGCTCTTATTAGACGTCTAAGTATAATGGAGGCTAAGAATTTAGAAACTATATTAGTTAAACTTATTACCCTGTGATTGTCACAAGAGGACTTGTGTCCTTTCTTGTAGATTGGGACAATTAGCGACTGAGCCCAGTCAGATAGGATTACGTCCAGTTCCCAGATTCTACCTAGGATCTCGGTCAGTTTAACCGTTAAAACTGGACCACCATCCTTAAACAGCTCAGGGGTAAGCATATCAGGACCTGCTGCTCGCCCTCCCTTTAGATTTCCTATAGTTTTCTCAACTTCATGTAGACTAGGAGTACTTAAATTGATTTGCCATTCAGGATGACTGAGGATCGTTGGTAACCGAAGTGTGGCTGAAGACCAGTTGAACTGATCCCCAAAGTGTTCTGCCCATCGGTCCAGTCTCCTGGATTGAGAATGGATAATAAGACCATCCTTTTCCGAGATAGTCTCACTCACATTCGGGTTCCTAATACCGGTTTCTTTGATAAGGCGGAGAAGTTGTCTAGTGTTGCCTATCGCCGCTGCCTTTTCTATCGCTTTTGCTTTCGCCACCCACCACTGTTCGCGGTCATTACGTAGGCTTTTTATCAGTTCGCGCCTAAGCTGACCACGCTCTTCATCATTTTCAGATTCAGGTTGGATGCGTTTTCGAGCATCCATCAGTTCGGTGGATGCTACAGAGATCCATGGCTTCATTGTAGCCTTATAGTTTACCTTGCTAGCAGATATCACTGCTGTTTCCACAGCCTTCCTGATATCATTCCAACCTGCCTCCGGATGGGAATCACTTGCATGGTCGCCTAACTGTTTTTCTTGTTCCTCCTGAAATATTTTCTTAGATTGATTATCATTAAGTGAAGCCTTAAGAGGCTTCCTTACGGTGTCTTTCTTATGTCCAGTAAGCCTCAAACAAATACGAGCTCGCACTAGGGCATGATCTGAATCCAAACATGTGCCCCAGAACGAGCGACAGTCCTCTATCGAGCCCCTTCATCGGTGGCTGATGGCGATATGATCTAGTTGCGTCCAACGTTGAGACGACTTCGGGGGTCGCCAGGTCAAAAGATGTTTTTCCTTATGCTTGAAATTAGTGTTTGCTAGAAATAGCACAGTTGCATCAAACGGTCGCCATTGTCTGCTCTGAGAGCCGCGACACCATAACATCCACCATGGTGTCTTTCATTTTCACTTAGTCTACCTACTTGAGCATTGAAGTCACCAGCCATTAATACTATATCAGAGCGCTTAACGTTTTGGAAGAGGTCCAAAAGCTTTCTGTAAAACTAGTCTTTTACATCGTCTGGACCGCAGTCAGTAGGGGCGTAGGCTGATATGACGAAGAGGCAACGACGAGTGTCTCTATCCTTTCGAATCCTTACTTTCCCGTTTTGTCGGACGGCGCACAAGCGACTATCTACAGGGATCCAGTCTAGGGGAGATAGTTCTGCCCTACGACTCAAAGCTATACCTACACCAGCGAGGCTCCGGGAAGCAGCATCAGGGCTACGGGATACTCGAAGGGCAAATCGAGCTGCTTCTTTATCTTGACATGGTGAGGTCAAGTGAATGATGCTACTCGGATCCTGTATGAGCGTTTCCGAGACACAGCGCACATCGATGGCGTGAGATTCTAGGGTCCTAGCTAAGGAAGCCTGTTGCCCTATTCGATACAATGTCCTTACATTAAATGCTCCAACATGTAGTCTAGAGCGGGGTTTCAAGAGACCAGGAATGACGTTTCGTGAACTCGCATCGTTTGCATTAGTTGTGCAGTGTGACAAAGGAATGTGAGAAGAGTTAGTCATGGAGATTAGGGTGTGTAGGAATGATTCGATTTTGACCGATTTGGTCTCGTGTGCTGTTACGGGTATGAGGGCGGTTTTCGCTTCCTGGCTGCCCACACCGTGGAAGGTTGTTACTTGAGGAACCTGAGAAGGAAGGTAGATTAGCGTTGGTCTGTACGACCTGGGTGCGTGGCCGCAGAGTCACGCACGGCATTTTTGTTAGAGGTTTTTTGAGTGTTAGCTCCGCTCTTGAAAGCCCTTAGTGGACAGTCTTACCGCCGGAGACGGAAATCCGTGAGGTAGGGTGAGGTGTGATATTTCTAGGGTCGACTTTTTCTAACCCTTCCTTCCTTGTGAGAAGGCAGCATTGCTGCAGATGCTGGTTGTTTGAGGGAAACACCTTACTGCTTCACACCCCTCTACAGTCAGCAGTACGACTTCGCCCTCAGACCTTGAGTAGCTGCTTTTAGTCTCATCGTTCTCCAATCGACGTGCCTGGCATGTTAGAACCTACAGGAACATGTTCCAGCCAATATAGCTCGGTAGGGTCATCAAGTTAAGCAAGCCCGACCACCACGTCAAGGTAGCAGCTTCGATCGGGAGTCCTAAACATCTGAATTCCTCATCACCTTTATCTTTCTATTTCTAAATTTACCTCACTTAATGATACTTCTTGAATAACATCTTCGAACCCTAATCTCTCCGATTACTTCTAATACTTTACTACCTTCACTACTATGGGATCTCTGTGCTAATGTAGTTTGAGAAGTTGAATTGATGTACTTTCATGCCAAGTTCTTCGTTGCTGTTGATAATGATAATTCATTTTTCCTGAACAACTAAATATTTTAAAATATTTGTAAAACTGATGTCACTGGAATTATTGCAACAGTTATTTTGAACTCGAAATTTATCATTATTTTGTGTTACTTGTAACATAGTCACTGTTACAGCAATCTACGTTTTGACTTTATTTTAATTCAAACGTTTGTATTGCCCAACTCTAATATGCGTATTTAGATGCAATGCAAATATGTTTCCAGTTTATTGTTCTTGTATGTACATGGTAGATTACTACCACTCGCTTTACAAGGGGAATTTAAGGAAAGGCTAACATGTTCAGTTGCTCCTATCAGTACTTAGGATAAAATTAGAAAGATTAGCTGATTAAAGATGATTCATTTAAACTAGTTTCATTGTGTTCCTGATTGTAGGATTTAATTTGCCTACGGATGAAGTTCCCAAATAGGTCCCTAGACTGTCTCACTTAGAATTTTGGCATGACTAACATCAATGGTGTTCGTCCATCCCTCCTACTGTATGTTGAGTAAATTATGGTACCCTTCGATCAAGTGTGCCCTTGACGGTCAACAATTTGTCACTAGGTAGCTCATCTTCAAACCAGCTCTACACAACCTATTTCCAAAATAAATCATATTTTTTAATTAACAACTTTAACTGTAAACTTTGGTCTACGAGATGGGCTTCTGAACATATTAATCGTAGTCGTCCGAAGTAACTGGGAAGAATGTACGTACCATATATTTTAGTTATACCGAGATTCTGTGTACGACAGTCGAAGGACCTATGTAGAAGATTTATTTGTAGGCAAACTATATCTTGCAAAGTTTCTAACAGTGAATGTAGGGCACATTATTTAAATTAATGAAATCCTAAAAAGTGTTCAGGTTTATGATTGGAAATAGCGATCATGATCATATCAAAGTTATAGCAAACCAAGTTAATGATGGGCTTTTCTCGATCAGACTTAACACTGACAATTATGGTTTTTAATTACTTCATTTTCCATTGGTATATGCCAGAATTTTGTCATGTTGTTTCAATGCAATTTTTCAATCTCGGTATTTTTTAGGTTGCTCATTAGTTATTTGTCTAAATGTAGTGCTAATTGACCATGAGGTACAATTTTTTATCGAGGTCACAAATGCACTTTTAAACAGCAACATTTATAAAAAAGAAGTTCAACGCTTTATGTGGACCATCTTTAAACCGATTTTAAAAAACTAAATCAAAGCACAAATTCGTTAACGTGCTATCACTGAGACCATGTGAACATGAATTACTCATTTAAAGCTTAGTTATGTCACAGCTAACGTTACTGACATCATTATGAATACTACGGAATAAACTTCCCAATTGTTAAGTTAAAACCTCTATCTCTTGTCCCATTATGTTGAGAATTCGGAAAGTCCAATTTAGTAATTATCTCTGTGAGATGTAACATTAGTTATAATCTATTGTAATAGCCTAAATGTGTCTGTTCTACTTAAATATATTTCCATTCTTATTGTTGCTATTACTTTTGTGATTGTGTGAATTGTAGTAGTTAAAGCAGACGCACCATAGTTTTCCCAATTTTCTTGAGTAATTGTGAGTTTAATAGTTTTTGTTTAAGTACATAAAGTTATTTCAATGTATAGGGTTTAATATGATGAGATTTTGATGTATCTATCAGTCCATTTTGTTGTAATCAATATCTCCACTGTCACCATTATCTTCTCAGTTTCTCTTTTCTCTAATATTGAAAGAATTTCCAAAAATATGTCTTTATATTTAACAAAGATAGTGGTTTTACATCTAAATCATGTTTTGATCAACGTAAGACCACCATCGATAAACCAGACACACTAGACGGCCTTCTCGTCCTAGTTTTGGAGTCCTCAATGCTGTTCAACTATGACTATCATGCATTTATCCAAGTCAGACATTAACACTATTGGATGACAACTCAGTGGTCGGTCAGGCGTCCGCGTGCGAGATCAAAGGTCGTGAATTTTGTTTCTTGCTGTCGGAACAACAGACGCGTATTGTTGAGGAGTCAAACCGAGACGAAAGAGCCATCCAATGTTTCCGGTTTTTCAATGGGAGTCTAACGTTGATCGACTTGTAATTTCAATGAAATTCAGCGGTCCCGACTATTTATATAATGAAAGCTCTTTTATTGTTGACAGACTCTACTCTACCCTAGTCTTTTTTATGTAAATGTCTTCCATAATAGTGGGATCACTATTTGTATTTGAATTGTAAATTTTCACTTTGTCCTCGTTTTGTGTTTAAGATTTACTGAAAGAATTGCCCAAATAAACAGTGAGCTGATGGTTCTTATCTTACATTTTAGGCGAAAGTTATTTAGAGGAGTACATGAAATCCGTTTTTTCATGTTTAATTAAGTGGTTACTTTGGTTTTTATGAATTAATTTACTGAAGATAGGACACCGATTTCTCAAAAAGATATTCAGTCTGAACTGGAAAGGTTGGCACGTAGCTCTCGTGAAGCACTGGACGTTGGAGATAATGGTACTGAGCAATCATTAAATGATGTTCGACAAAAAAAGCTGGATGAAATCAAATCAATAGACACCGCATCACCTCAACCGAATAATACAATACCTAGCACCGACGAGTGACCAAGTCAAGTTTGGTTATGCATTGATTTTTACTATTTCCTAAATTGTGTTTTACGATTACAGTCTACACTTCACATTATCTTCATTACAACGATGTTTATGCTCTAATATATCGCTTTATTCATTCCTTTTCTATTTCGAATTCTTTTTGATTTATATGATATTTACATGTAGTCGGTTTTGCCAATATGTGATTCATAATCTGTGGATCAGTTGTCATCATTTAATGTCAGTAATCTCGGCACTTCCGACTCTGAAATAAGGATGATACGACTGACAATTGAATATGTCTCATATGCGGCTATCATCTTCTTGATTAGGTGGTCTTAAGACTTCTTTCGAGATATAAGATTCAGGTAGATGATCAAGCTTATTTCAGCAGTCAAGATAAATTCTGTCTGAGACCGCTAGCTAATTGGTTATTGATGTAGGTAGCATTGATCCGAACTTCAACCATTTTTAACATCAAAAATAAGAGAGTAGGTTAACTTGATTAGGTTGGCTTAGCGTCATAACCAAAAACTATATGTGTGGGAGCTGTCAACTTCACAGTTGATACTCGGTCAAAGACAGCAGTAAACTGAGAATACTGTAATGCTTAGTTCCGACTAATTTTATTACTCCAGAGCGTATTACAAGAAGCAGAGTATATGTAAAGGCAGCCTAAGTGGACGAGATATCCCAACTTATTTTTGAGGGATTGCAGTCTATAAAGCGCTACGTAAAGAGGTTCAAGTTACTCTTAAAGTGTATGGCTTCACAAATAGCGATAGTCCACAACCCTTCAAATTAGCAAACGAATAGTGGGTGATGTGTAACTAAAACCGAATGTAACCATACATTTAAGATCTTAATCGGCATCTGCGTCACTGCAGTTAGGTATCCTGAACTATGCACCTAACGCCTCTGTCCAGTTTCCCAGGGCTCGAAAATAGTTGGTTCAGACAATAATCTAGCTGTCTCGATTTCACTTATCCCTTTTCACAGCATGCGAAGATAACACGATTCCGACTAACATCCATTGTTCGTCCGTTTCTAAGCTTAAATTTTATCAGATACTAGCAGAACTTGAGTGCTCGCTAACTTTTTTTACACCAATCGATTACTTGTAGGCAGATTTTTTGTCACTTGACCTCAACTTCGGCTCCTCAAATCCATATTGACCAGTACCCGTCTCTTATCCATAGTTCGCAGAAGTTTTTGAAGTTAACATGCCCTTCCACATGTATTTTCATATTATGAAGTACAGCAGTTGTTTGTATCCATTCCACCTCTATAGTGGACTAAACTATATTATTACTATTGGGAAGGCTGTCTAGATTTTTCTTTACTATTCCCAAACACATTTAAGAGAGGATCATGCTTTTGTTAAATCTTGTTGAAAGAGATAAATTTGGTAGTATATAAACTTCCAATATGAATATTTCCGCTAATTTTCGATATTATTTCTGACCTTATTAGTTTTTCTAGACACACCCTAGCCGTAGAAGCCCAGTCATATTATCAGCAGATCACTGTCGGGCACGCCATTAGTATACTCTCGCAACAACTAGCCAGTTTAGAACACTTATTTCCTAACGTCCCAACTTTGCTTATACTTAAACTTCGATTCACTTTATTCCTGACTTCTGGTTCGGCTATTCCTGATCTGATACATATTGCAGTCGAAAACGTTTTTTCTGTAACCGACAACTTTTCAGGCTGTTTTAACGATCACGTCGGACAATCTATTTGCTGCATCGCTTACATATATCGTTGTTTGGTAAATGCTGATTTACGAGTTGATTTGGTGGGTTAATATCTTACTTTTGCCTATTGCCGTTCGTGGAGCGTAGGCCTCCGGAAAACTTTGATTTTCAAGTTTCTCAGAGAGTTGGTTTACTACAGAATGTGGTTGCTAACCCCATGCCGAACACTTCTCCTTTATCTGGACTTTAGATTGGCTGTAACCTCAGAAGAGCTCCAGGAAGATTTGTTTGATGATCTAGATTTTCGGTGGAATCAGATTGGTCTATTTTTTGGAACACCCAACATGGTGATTTCATAAGAATCTTGGTCGCTGACTACCATTGATCCAAACCTTGTAAGGTTTCCGGGCGGACTCTTACCTCATGGTGCTTTGTCTAGGTGTTGTTGTTGTCTAGATCATGTTTGAGGATGTCGCCTAACACTTTCACTCCAATAAACAATCAGCTGAGATTATACCAACTACGGTACATAGTCCATCGGCTTGTGTATCTTCTTATTCTGTCATTCTTGGTCTCTTCTACTATTAGTTTTGAGATCATGAAATAAAGGAGTACTAGTTACAATTAAGCTGTCAAAGTTCTGGATCTCCACCTCAGGTTCAACAGTTTTTTACACTCTCGAATAACTTTTCAAATCGGTTGGCCACGAAAAGGTTTGTGTCTAGTTGACAACAGATTAGTCAGCTTCACTATTATAAGAAACCAAAAACTAAGAGTGAGTCGGTAAAATCTGCTCATAGTCCTACACATTTAGATCTGAAAGGTTTGAAGTTTTGAAACACCTCACTGACATCCATATCCAAGACCTTATTACGAGCTAGTGCGAACCAATTGATTACTTTCCGCTCGATTCTCGTTCTTTCGGTAAAGTTCCAGGAGTTTGATAGTGTCCAATGGATGGGGTTTAGCCACTTTAATGTCTAAATCTTTGCAGTCGGCTGTTGTTTTTGAGTTTGTATGTTTCTGTAGTCCCTTCTAGGATACTACGGGTCCCTAGCCCGGGTAAAGAAGGTAAAGTTGGTATTGAGGATGTCGAACCCATCACACCAAAAACTAACTTGCCAGAAAACGCTAACTAGATCAAATATTTCAAACCACTTTAAATCTGTCCTGAGAGTTGTAATAAGAATTATGACGTCTCGTGATGAAGGCCAAGTCCCCTCGGAAGTCACGAGGCCGATGATCTTTCTCACAACCAAAGAAACCATTCTTTTAGGTACATGGAACGTTCGGACATTGTGGGAGAGTGGAAGACTGTTTCAAGTTGCTTCAGAAATGAGAAGATACAACCTGGAGGTGCTTGAAATCGGTGAAACGCATTGGATGCAGGTAGGACAACTGAGACTAGCTTCAGGGGAACTGCTATTATACTCTGTTCATGAAGAGGAAAATGCTTCACATACTCAAGGAGTTGCACTGATGCTTTCCAAACAAATGCAAAAGGTATTAAAAGGATGGGAATCTTATGGACGCGGGATCTATCAAACATTCTTCAAAACAAAGAAAACGAACATTACAATGGACATCATCACTTGAACATATCAGGAGGTTCTGGGTCAGAAGAACCACCATCACAAGGAATGGATCTCAGTGGACACTCTTGATAAAACTCAAGACAGCAATCAACATCAGCCGAACAAGAGATGAGAGAGTCAAGGCACATGCTGAATACACAGAAGCAAACAAGCAAGTGAAGAGGAGCATCAGAGCCGACAAACGTACATGTGTGGAAGATCTAGCAATGACAGAGGAAAAGGTTGCAAGAGAAGGAGACATGAGACAATCGTACGATACAACAAAAAAGCTCTTTGGAAACCATCGTCAACCAGAACGACCAATGAAAAGCAAGGAAGGCAAAGTAATCAGCAACATTGAAGAACAGCGAGACAGGTGGGTAGAGCACTTTAAGGAACTCTTGAATCGACCAGCCAAACGAACCCACCCAACATCGAAGCAACATCCATGTTCCTCCAATCAATGTTCGCCGATCAACATTTAACGAGATCAGTATGGCAACCAGACAAATCAAGAATGAAAAAACAGCGAGACCAGATAACATTCCAGCAGAGGCAATGAAAGCAGATGTGGAAGCAACTGCGAAAATATACCACATCCTCTTCAAGAAGATTTGGAATGAGGAGCAAGTACCATCAGACTGACCTGGCTCTTCTATTGCGCACCCAAAAACAAACACATGAGAAGACGACCAGTGTAGCAGCAACAGGTTTCAACATACGCAGACGGTAAGGCACGATTCTGTGCCAGCCTAATCACTCTTGATGGAGAGGTCTTGCTGGATGTGGAACCCTTTACGCATCTGAACAGCATCATCGACAATCAAGGTAGATCTGATGCAAATGTGAAGGCTAGGATCGAGAAGGCAAGGGCTGCATTTCTACAAATCAAAAATATCTGGAAATCCAAAAAAATATTGGTCGACAATAAAATCACGATTTTCAATACAAATGCCAAGACAGTTCAACTGTATGGGGCGGAAACTTGGAAAACTAACAAAGCCATCATCCAGAAAATACAAGTGATTAATAACAGTTGTCTACACAAAATATTTGGGGTCCGTTGCTCAGACACAAACCAGATTCCAGCTGAGGAGGAAATCAGGACGAAGCAATGGAAGTGGACAGGACGCACTGCGTAAAGCACGCAATTGCGTCACAAGGCAAGCCCTCACTTGGAACCCTCAAGGTCAAAGGAAGGCCAAGGAACATGTTACGCCGAGAAACAGAGAAAGACATGAGAAGAATGGACAAAAATTTTGCAGGACTGGAAAGGGAAGCCCAGGGCAGAGTGGTATGAAGAAAACTGGTTGGCGGCCTATACTGGATTGGGGATAACAGGTGTACTTAAGTAAATAGTAAGTAATGTCCCACGGTTTGACTGAGTACGTTTGTTTCAGGGGAGTAAGGCTCCTCGAAATCAGTAGCTATCACATTACCAGACCGGAGGTCAGTTTGTTTCAATGTGTAGAAAACGAGGTGAAGATTCTAATTCTAAGAAGCGGATTTAAGAACTAATTAATATATAGATAATCCCGTTTACCAATTGGTAGTGAAGATTGCGAGAGAGAACGGAAGTGTAATCAAGGGAGAGGAAATAGAGATAACAGGCGAGATAGATTAAGTTAGTAGTCTGAGAAGATGGCAGTAACAACGACTGGCGAGTCTCAAGGCATGCATCAGGCACAGCTTGTCCACGAGGGAGATGATAATCAGTATGTGTGCACATGTTTATCAAGTATCTTCTTAAAGCTGTCCACCGAGGGGGCTGTGGTCACCTCGGCTAGGAGAGGACTCCGATTTGCAACGACTCTTAATGAGAAGTGTTGTGCACGAACCTGAGTGTTCCCCCTTTGATGTGCAATTTTTAGAG